CCTCATGTAACTCAGAAAAAGTCTGGGGATGCTGCCCGAGTACTTGGAAGTCATTTGGTTCCAGCTGCTACCTCATTTCTGCTGAACGGAATATTTGGAGTAAGAGTGAGCAGAACTGTGTTGAGATGGGGGCACATTTGGTGGTGATCAACACAGAAGCAGAGCAGGTACTTTTTTTCTTTATTTTTCATTAAACTATATTTTTTAATTGTGGAAAGGAGGCTTAACATAAAATTTACTATCAACCATTTTTAAGTGTACAGTTCAGTAGTGTTTACTATATTCACATTGCTGTGCAACAGATCTCTAGAACTTTTTCATCTTGCAAAACTGAAACTCTCTGCCCATTGAATAGTTACCCATTTCCCCACCCTGAAGGCCCTGGCAATCACTCTTCTATTTTCTGTTTCTGTGAGTTTGACTACTTTAGATATCTGGTTTAAGAGGAATCATATAGCTCTTTTTTGTGACTGGCTTATTTCATTTAGCATAATGTTCTCAAGGTTCATCTGTGTTGTAGCATGTGACAGGATTTTCCTCCTTTTTAAGGTTGAGTAATCTTCTATCATATGTATATCTCAAATTTTCTTTTTTTGTTTGATTTCTTTTCCCCCCCAGCTTTATTGAGGTATGATTGGCAGATAAAAATTGTATATATTTAAGGTGTGCAATGTGATGATTTGTTATACATTATATATTGAAAATGATTACCACAGTCAAGGAAATCAGCATATCCATTGCCTCATATGGTTACTCCCTTTTTTTTGGTAGTAAGAACACTTAAGATACCACATTTCCTTCCATTTGTTTGTCTATTTTCACTTAAGTTGCTTCTACTTCATGGCTACCGTGAATAATACAGCAATGAATATGGGGTTGCAAATATCTCTCTGAGATCCTGCTTTCAGTTCTTTTGGGTATAAACCCACAAATGAAATTGCTGGGTCATATGGTAATTTATTTTTAGTTTTTTGAGGAACCTCCATACTGTTTTCCACATTGGATGCACCTTTTATATTGTCACCAAGAGTGCACTAGGGTTTCATCTCTCCATATTCTTGCTGCATTGTTCTTTTCTGTTATTTATTTATCTATCTATCTATCATCTACCTATCTGTCTATCTATCTATCATCTATCATCTGTCTATCNGCTTCTTTGTTTTTTTGTGAGATGTTGGAAATTTTTCTTTTTTGATATTTGGCGAGAGTATGGTGAATGGGGATCTACCCTCCCTGACCTATGGTTGGTTGTTTGTTTTTTTTTAATTTTTAAAATTATATTGGAGTTCTTTGGTCAAACCATTGTGGAGGTGACTCTCCTGTGTAGGAAGCCAGAACTATCAGGTTAGATTTCCTCCCACCTTTTGGAGGTACTCATGCAATAACAACTAAAGTTTTAAATAATATCTTCCTAAAAGCA